GATTAGTCACAGTTACGTCGTTAAATGTGACTGAGGTCCTGTCATCCTTTTTTCCAGGGTTCGAGAGTGACTTTACCATTACCCACAGTTTACTCAAATCGGTTCCAATGTTGCAACACTTCAGATGGTCTAGCCACTTTTTCCGCTTATGCTCCTGTACCAACCGGTTGACTTCCACTGTCAGTTCACTGACTCTGGGATCAGTAGGGTTGGTACGTCGGAGCTCATCACGCTCATTCGCTAATCCCGCTGCCTCTGCTGGGAAATTTGGTCTTACTTCGGGTATTCGACCAGCAGGTATATAGCGAGCGGCTGCAGCTTTGATGATGTCCCGGAAAATCCTTTCAGCTACCCGAACATCAGAAGGATTGGGCAGTTCTCTGAAGCGAAGGTTGGTGAACTCTCTGAACTCGGGCCAGTGGGCTTTCCCATGGTTAAGGAAAGTGCGGCGTTCAGAGGTTATGAAATCGGGCGATCTGCTGATGGAGACGATTATCGGGAGATGGTCTGAGCCAAGAGAAATGACGGGTTGCCAAGTCACGACATTTATCAGACCGGGTGACACGATGGTTAAATCTGGCGAACTGTGACACTCTCCTCTTATTCGAGTGGGGTCATCCTCGTTTACCGTGCAAAATGTGGAGCAGTCAATCTGCTCTGCCAACGCTGATCCCCTCTGGTCATTACCTAGAACGGAATGCCACAACTCATGGTGGGCATTGAAGTCCCCTAGTACCAGGCGGTTATTGCCTTCCAAAAGTGGGCTTATATTAGGCAAGTAACTCGGTTCACAGCTATTAACCGGCGGGACATACACATTAAGCACCTCTACCTCGGCAGTACCACACTTGACTGCTACCCCCCTACACTCCATGTACGGGTCACTAGAGACTAGCTCAAGCGAGATAGGTCTGTATTGAACAGAATGGTGTAACAGGAACGCTAATCCCCCACCACCACTTCTGGTGTGATCTTTCCTCAATACGTTGTAACCATTGCAACGTTGTAAGCTACAATTTTCATTGAGCTTGGTTTCCTGCACCGCTGCGATCTTAATATTCCTCCGATTCATAAAATCCACTATCTCATCAATTTTACCTCAGAGTCCGTTGCAATTGAACTGCAAGAATGATGCATTGTCCGGAATTGGAACAGCAACATGTGGCGTTAAGTGCTGTTGTAAAGTTTGCTGTTCTGGAGACTGCGGGGGAGTTCCATACTCCGATGACGACTCGGAAGTTGACGACGAGGTCGTGGACTCACTGGGGACTACGTTGGTACAGCACGAAGCAACATAGTCCCTATCGCTATAGTCTCGCAACCGGGTTAAACCGGAACAATTCCTAAAATGCACCCATCCTCTGCATCCATTATATCGCACCGAGACTGATCTATGGTGGATGGTGTTTTGGCAAACCGTACAGAACCATGGTCCGGGGTTTTCCTCAAGCCCGCACGGACCAAAAGAATCCGGAGCAAGCATTCCGGGATGTGCTGCTCCCAATACAGAAAAATAAACAAACAGGAACATGTATACACTGAGTTGGCAGCCGCTGGCCGAAACTGGAGTGTTTTTGTTTCGGGTCAATCCGGTATCGTAGAACCCGCTGCCGTGGGATTGCTGTGATTTGTCGTGGTGCATAGTTTGCGAACGAATCGGCGGGAAACGTTTTCTGTGCGAAATGTTGACTGCTATATTGAAAGTCGTCATTCTAAATATTGTTTGTTTTTTCACTGTTTCCATTCTATGATGGACGTAATAAATAAATAACAAGTAAGCAAAGGCTATAACGTGCGGGGCCGACCATGTGATACCCTACAACACTACAATATATTAGAAGCCTTATGTCCAAATCCATTTGGGAAGATTTCTCTTTTGAAATTATATTACGGAGCACTGCCCAGATATTACCCTTAGCATTTTTACCAGGGACATTGCCCAATATTTATGCACTCCGTCGTGCTGTTAGTTGTTGTGGTTTATATAATATATAGAATATAATGCATTGGTCATCCAAAATGCTAGAATTCTTCCCTGTCCTTAACTCTTTTCTCAGGCGTGTCGATTGGCTTCAATTGTGTGACTAGGAAATATTTTCTGTTTTTGGTTCATTTGAACCCCTTAATAATTTGCGATCGTCTCCAAAAACAAGAGGCCCCTCTGTATCTCCAAATTTAGACTTATCTATATGATTTGCTTGTCTACGATATTTGTCCATATTCGTCAGCGAAATCAGCATAAAAAGCCAGAAGTTCACCTTTTTGTGTATTTTGGATATCGCCTGTAAGTTATTTTCAAAATCAGGAACATTTTTAGTTCTTGGTCCATTTCAACCCCTAAATATATTGCGGACATCTTTGAAAATAATAGGCCTAGCCCTTCTGAGCCTAACCCTATCCCTGCGAAAATTTTTCGTGAGGATCGGACGACAATTGCAATCTGTATATAAAAATCCCAACCTGTGTTGTAAGGTGAAAAAATATTACAAAATTTATACATCAATATTAGGTGTGTCTGGTTACCCTAAAACTTGTAACAATTGTTACAAATTGTTACTAAAAGTAGTCTGTTAACCCGAAAGTTCTGCAAAAGAGAGCGGTTGGAGAGAGAAATTTTGACAGTTCTTTCAGTGAGAGTTTGCAAATTCTTGCTGGACAAATTTCTTCTTGCAATCACTTGCAACTCTTCTTCTTCCCATTCATCAATATTCAATCAGATGTTTTCTATTGTTTGTTTATTTCTTTTTGTGCTTTCAATTTGAAAATATTTTTTTTTTTTTTGGAATTAGCAAGACGTAATTGTTTTTGGAGAACAACTTTATAAAATGTGAAAAACGTAAATATTAATATGTAATAAGAGAATAAAAGACTATTTCCAACATTTTTGACAAACGCCATTAGCAACACGTTTAAAGAATTCCGGGGAACACATCAAATCTATCTTCTCTTACGCTCATTTTTTTATTTTCTTGCTAATTTCTTTGTTATTTATAAATCATGTAAAATTGGTGGTGCTTTCTTTTTTTAATTCTTTTAATGGGGGACGATTTGCTTTGTTTTGACAAAACAGCTGATTAGTTGCAAGTTTCTGCAGGAACACCGTCTGTTTACTTTTCGCATTTTGCTTGCAAAAGAGAATAAAACTACATTACTCTCTCAGAAAGAGATTGCTGGACAATTCCTGCAGGAAAAGTAACCAGACACACCTATTCTAAGTCAAACTGAAAAAATCGCATGCGATAAAAAAATATGAAAAAATAATAAAAATTCACAAAATACTACAAAATCTATATTAACATCATTATAGGCATCTTTTTATGCGATTTTTTAGACTTTATTCTTTTATGTCAAGAGGGCATTCTGAATTGACAAAATTTGTCAAAATCGGTCCCGCCATTCTTGAGATATAAGCATTCTAGCTAACATCTCCTCCCTTTGTATATACACATTGTATATATTTCGCTATATATCCGACATATTTACTAGAGGTATCTACGTAATGGTCAAAATTGACCTGTTCATTTATTTGTGATTTCGCCGGGATTAAAAATATTCGCGATTCAATGGAAAATTTGACTTTTATTTAACACAAATGTTATAATCTATTTTACCCACTAAATATTAACCGATGACCATTAAAATTGGAAGACTTCTGCCCAGCCCTAAGCTCTATCCCCATGCCAACTTCCGCGTCGATTGGTCCATAATTGCGACCTGTAGAGCAACTGCAAAATCAGTAAATTTTTCAGTTTTTGGTCCATTTCAACCCCTTAATATTATGCGATCATCCCCAAAAGAAATAGGGTTCTATTCTGGCTAGAGCCCCACCTCCATTCCAAATTTCGTGAAGATCGGGCCATAATTGTGACCTGTAGAGTGATTACAAATTAACATGGACAGACGGACGGACATACATAGCTAGATCGACTCAGCTCGGCGAGCTAAGAAGACCCATATATACTTTCCTATGTGGGAAACCAATATTTCGAGGTGTTACATAATTTTTGGCCCAATCAAACTTATAATACCCCCAACACATAGTGTTGTAGGGTATAAAAAGGCACGAATTTAAATTAATATTTGTTTTTACTTTATCTGCAATGAGTTAATGTACAGGGAAACGTTTGCAATGAGTTTTTTGTTTTGTTTGTTTCCACTCATCTACGCAAACAGTACAAATAACAAAACAAGTCCCGTTATCTTAACATCGGTTTTGTTTCGTTTCGTACTTCATGAAAATACAGAACAAAACGATTGCAAACGTTTGGTAAAGTTGGTTTTTGTACGCTGGTTGTGCTACGATTACTTCTAAATCCATGTTGACTCGGATGGTAAATGCTAACTTATATATTCTAACATTTGATAATAGCCACTATTTTAGCAACTTTCCAGAGCTCAGTAAACACACACACTGTCAACATGGTATTCGCAACATGCAGTACAAAAGGGCCAACGAAGGGAAAAACAAGTTTAAGCAATGTAAGTTTAAATCCATCATAACCTTAACCTACTGCCTTAATTTGGCACATGAACCAAAATTCATCTTTATTGGAAAATGAATTGCGAATCTTTAAAGTAAAATTGATTTGTAGAATATAGACTATATAAGATATCTCGTGTCAAATATTCATGTTGGTTTTACGAAATTTCAATGTCAAATCTGCTGAAATGCATATGAGAGATGGGTCTGACTTCATTTCAATTAAATTCGGCTGGGACATTAACTTAGCAAAATACATGGACAGACATGAATATACAAATGTATAATTTTAAATGTTATATGCAAAGATAAACAGGAAACTAGTTGAACTGTATGGGCTCGGCGCACCTCTTAAGTTTTTCGCTTAAAGCTCGATGGACACCTGTTGGCGAAATCTTTTTATTTTTTTAGTAATACACAATATTTTTTATTAAACAGATTTATTTTCTTTTAAAGCTTGGACAAAAAAGTATAAAAAGGAGTGTACAGTAATGTGCAATGGAAAGAAAAACACAAACAATACGCATAACAAAATATATTATCTTGGGTGTGGGAAACAAAATAGACAATAAGGAGATGATTAAAAATAAATGTGGCAGGAATTCCAGCTGCCTAAAACGCAGTTATTTGTAAATTACCAATACAATTTGAGTGATATATAAGTATTAAAAATCGTATTTCAATTTAAGACGTTCGCGAATCAGAAGACCTCGTATAAGTTTCTTCCAATTGCCGTAAACACGTGCCTCGTATTTCTCTTGTTCCTTGCGTTCCTGTTCCTCTTGTTCTTGATACCAGGCGGCAGTAACTTGATCTTGGAACTCTTCGCATACAACAAATCCATCATAGGTGGGATGGCAGGCACCTTGATGGAAATCGAAGCCCACAACGGCATTGGCACAATCAATGCCAAGTTTTTTGCAGACCCGATTAAGACCAGGCACTAGCATAAGCCAGAAATTAAGCATTAAAAAAGAACTACTTATATTTAATAGGCGATACTTACGTCGTATATGAACACATTTCTTGGGCAGCATAGTGGGTTTAAATAATTCCACATTGCCATAGGCGTTACGTGGAACTATGCCATTCTCCGCTGTAGGTGGATCATATTCTTCAGTTTGCCAGTAACCAAATATTTCCAGTGGCTGGTCTTTGATAACAGTTTGTGTAATCTAAATATATATAGAGGTAAAAATGATATTTTCTGAAAGCAGTCCCAGCATATACGGACTTACCCTGTCCCACTTTGGTCTAGCCTTGACAATTTTGTATGGCTTTTCTCCCAGTTTAACAACTCGTGCCTGTTTTAGCCAAATGTCTCGAGAATGTAAGGTGTGAACACAATCCCTCGAATATACCGCCTCGCCGCGAATGAAGCCGAGTGTTGGTGCTGTTGGCGGATATATTGCTTCAAATTTCAGTAAATGTCGTTCCAATGCATAGAAGGGATGATTTTTATAATCGGAAATAGAAGTTGGCAATGGCTTCTCCTCGTGTATGCGACGCAGTTCTTGATCTTCCTTGATATCTCGTTTTGTACGATGACCATGGTATTTATGCAAAGCCGTATCTAGCCATGCCTTCTCAACTCTTGATTTGCGCACAACATTTGTCCACTGTGGGTTATAACGTGCAGTTACATCCTTTATACTTAGATCATTTTGGAAGGCAAATACGTACGCCATATTCGAAGAGGCAGATTTCTAATCGAAGGAAGAATATTACAAAAGAAAGACGTTACTTCCATAATTTATTATGATGAACATTTTCATTGTGAAAAATGATAAATTATTTAACAAAGGCTCTTAGTCCAAACAGATATTGTGAGGAATTTAAATGCATATAAATAGGAGATTGTAAGTGAGCAACATAATTTTTGAACATTCCACCAAAAACAACCCTAAATATCTAATATCTATATATTAAGTCAGAATGTAGGTTAGGTTAAAGGACGGTGACCTGCTGGTCTTTTGAGTTCATCCTAAATGAAGAAAGTGGAAAGAAAGAAAGATTGGTGGAAAATGTGAAGAAGTTATTGAGATATAAGGGTAATCCACGGCTAGAAATTTTGCCGTGTCGTCTTGAGCCACTTAAGTCTTCTGGCTAATTGAACACTTACTGTAGGTCAGTGTGAGAGAACGAAGACAAATCATGTGGCAGTTGTTCCCCCACCAATCTGTGTCTCACGTTAATGAGTGCTGCACAGTGGCAGAACAAATGTTCAATCGTCTCAAATTCTTCCTCGCCTTGACAGATTCTACAGTAATCAATATCATTGCTGTTCCATTTCGAGGTCTTTGCCCTCAACTCGCAGTGACTGTGATGACGCCCACCACAAATTTTAAATCAGGTTTCGAAAGAACAGTAGCGATTTTGTTCTCTTCTCAGTGAGTATAGACCAGATTCTTTTGGAGATGCTACATCCCCTTTCATCCAGCCATTTTTTTAAATTCTCTCAGAGTAATGTGTATGAATTACCTGGAAGACGCGGCACAGGGGTGATTTGACCGAGTTCTCAACTTCAATAATAGCAAATTCGGTCCCTAGCCTAGCCAATTTGTCTGCAGTTTCGTTGCCTGGAATATTGTAATGACCAGAAACCCAACAGAGCTTGATGGACAACCAAGTTTTTTCCAAGGATGGTAAAGGCGTTTATAGCTTTCAGTGTCGCTTGGCTATCGACATATATAGATACCGGACCGTTAGGACTATTAGGTCTGCGAACTAATTACTTTTTTGACCGCAAAGATTTCCGCATGGAACACGCTACACTCGTTTCTACACTTGTAGGATTCACGAACATTAAGAGTGTCACAGACGACACCAGCTCCCGTTCCGCATTGCATCTTTGAACCGTCAGTATAAACAGCTATGCCGCGGAAAGATGGATTGCTATGGGCCGAGGCGTCCCTGTCAGGTATGTGGATGTCAGGTGGGTCAAAGCTTAACCGTGGTGATGTATAATCACGTGTGTTGGCCTCCACTCCTATATTCCTTACACGCCCTCGAAGAGCAGAATGTATATAGCACTGGCTTGTGAAAACCGTACTTATTTAGTTATTTCAAATTTGCTATCTCGATTTATAGACGAACATGTTATACTAATTTCGTTCATGTAACGAACGCATAACAGCAAAGAAAAATGGGAAATGCTTTTGGTCCCTGCTATTCCATTTATTTTTTTGTTCTCCACCAATAAATCCACATTGTTTTTAAGAATACAACAATAATTGAATTAAGTCTCCAAGGTCGATATTATCTCTTTACTATTACCAATAGATATCTTTATTATCTCTAACTGGTAATTTACACCCATATATCAGCAGAACCTTTAAAACACTTACCCTTATTAAATCGATGCAGTGTATTTTGCCCTTAAATAAATCCAAGCATATCCATCGCTCTTCTACGTCACACCAAACCTCCACCCACATATCGCCAGCTGTAGGTTTTCTTTGTTTATCGGGACTATTCTCCTCGTCGGTGGAGAGCACACGGCGATCTCTTTTCGCAATTGTTGGAGCTAGTTTTGGTTTCTTAATTGGCGATGGTTCAAAGTCTTCATCGGAATCGTGTTTGCCATGAGTTTTAGGCGCAACTTTTTTCTTTCTTGTACTTTTTGTTTTGCCTGGATCGTGTGCTTGAGTATTATCATCGTGAGCTCCATCCAGTTGAGGTATTTGCAAAGAAACAGTGTTTGTTTCGGCAGTTTCTGATTCATTGGGTTTTTGGCTGGAACGTAACACACGCTGATTTGTCGCTTTCTTATCTATATTTGAGAGAAAATTTGTCGATATTTTAACCTTTTCGCTAGGACTTTTGCCGCGGGTTTGTTGTTTTTTCACATTGGTATTTTGCTGTATGATTCGTGGGAATTTTTCTTTGTACTGTTTGGTCTGTAAGAAATCAGTGGATATGTGAATTTGTGGAGATTTCGAACGGGATCGGGTAACACGAGTTCGAGTTGAGGTTGTGGGTGGATCCTCGGTTGTTGTGGCAGTCACTATTTCTTTGCCCTTAACCACAATTGTTGGAACTAAAGGTTTTCCAGATTCTATAACGAGTTTCTTCTTCGGTGGTTTATTGGGGTCGTCGGCGGCCTTATTTCGCTTTAATCGAGCCAAATTGGTCTTTTTTGGTTTGGGTGAATTTTCCTTTTGGGAATTTTCTAATTCATCAGTTTTGGAAGTATTATCTTCATGCTTGATGGCGATTTCTGATTTTAGCTTAGTTGGTCTTTCTTTTGAAACATCTGTTTTTTTGTTGGCAGTGTTTTCGGATCTTGATGGCTTTCTGGTTCTAGGTTTTCTTTCGGATTGCACATCCGGAGGTTTCTCAGTATCGGACATGGGAGTAGGTTTAGATATTTTATCTGAGGACAATGGTTTCGGCAGTGATTTAGAACTTTTGGCTTTTGATGCATCACCAATTTTGGATATACTGGTCATATTTCCGGTATGCGTATCCGCTGATATATTTAGTTGACCATTAATGTCCTTCTTTTCGACTTTGGTTGTATCTTTTGAAACTCCTAGTTTGTTTAATTTTGGTTTATCGTTTGACTTTTTCAAATTCGATGATGTTTTAATACTGGACGTGGCTTTTTCTTCCTGCGAGGTCATAGGTTTTAGCTGAATTTTTGTATCTTCCGTTTTTTCTTTGATTGTATCTTCTTTAGTCTTTGAACGACTGGGCTTTTCGTTTGAGTCATGGCGTTTATTAGCTTTCTTGGCTGGTTCCTCTTTCACGGATTTTACTTTAGAGGAAGTACTTGGTTTTTCCAAGTGTTTAGAAGCTTTTGTGCTCTCCACACTCTCTCCTTTTTTGATAGGAGCACCTTTGCTTTCGCCCTTATCATCCTCCTTTTTCAGTTTTAAAGATAGCAAGTCGGATTGTTGGGGTTTCAATGACAAAGGTTGCATATTGTTGATCAATCGACATTGCAGACCCATTCCGCGCAATAAAATTATAAATATGAATATATAATCTTGCTTGCAACATGCCTGCTTTTTCTCAATCTGTTTGAGCAGCTGACGATGGGCCATTGCCTTCTTTTTTGCAGACTTTTTATCTGGATATAAATTTTGCGAATTTAGGGTTATTGTACTTTTGAACCAAGTCACTAATGACTGATAGTATTTAATCTCCGTACCACGCTCAGGAGGATATGCATTTTTACTGGGCAACAATTTGAGCGACTTTTGCATAAGAATTGTGTCATTTAGAAGTCGATTGTAACGATACGTACGGCCGAAATGGCACAACAGACTGGCTTTGTGCATGAGTAACTGACGTTCTTTCATATCTCGATTGAATTTTCTCTTCAAGGCCATCTCTAAATCCTGTTGTGTACGCGTCTTTTTGTCGCGTTGTCTGCCTGGCAACTCAATGTGGATCTCAAGATTACCGGAGTGTGAAATATCACTAGACGCTGTGGTTGAGGTATCAGCGTATTCGGAAGACTCTGAAAAATATTTATGTCTCGTAAATTTGTAGGCAGTTTTTAAGATTTCTTAATCTAAGAAATTTTATTATAAAAGTGAATACTACGCAAAGCTTTTAATACTTACGCAAGCAACTTTTCATTCTTGTGGGGAAATTAATAGTGTTAAATTGATTTATATATTATTTCCCTTCGGCAAACTGAATGTTTAGATCAATCTATAAATTTTATTTTAGATCAATCTATAAATTTTTCGTCGAGAGACAACCGAGGAAAACAAAGATATGTGATTTTTTATTTTGTTTGGTGTTACTGTTATTTTTAATTAGGGTGAAGAGTATAATTTATAGATTTTATGAAAGAAACCCACTGGTTGACCTTCAGATAATTTTTCAACAAATTTACGGCTTGTTGTGAATAATTTCTTTATATTAGACGATTTCTCCAACTGGATAATAAAAGTCCTAACAGGGTACAAAAGGTCAAAGAATTTGTAATATTGTTCCTGATCGACCAAGTGGCCAGTCTGGTTTAAGGACGAACACTCATGCATAAAAGGGAACTCGGTGGTTTTCTAAAAGAACAGCGTAATTCGACGTATGTCAATTTTAATTTGGTACTTTGTGAGAGCTATCTACAGAAAAATTGTAGGAAAAAGCTGATGTTACAATATTTACGAAGTATTTAAGGTGACAATATATGCAATTTTATTTTAACAAGTAAAATAGTTTCAGTCGTTTTTGCCGACAGATGTATACCCCAGCCTTGAGTAATGAATTTTCAAACTGTTGACCCTTTATGGGGGATGTTCCGAAGCAGTTGGCCAATATTGACCAATTCGTATCTGACCTAAAATTGATTACAACGTGCCAGATTTGGACTATATCTACTACTATCTATACTTTATATGAAATATGTACAAATTTTTGGAAAATGTGTAAATATGCGTGAGGTGCCAGATATAGCCAACCGATGTATTAGATTTTTATACCTCATCTAATACACACAAAAATATTGGTATGTGCAAAATTTGAAGGAAATCGAACATTTATATTCAATTTTATGAGAAATCATAAATTCCAACTAATTACATGTTCATATCAGATTTCTTTCTGGTTAGAAGAAATTTAGATAAGTTGTAAAGAATCGCCGAATTGTTTCGCAAGTTATGACAGATATAAGTATTGGAAATTGTGACCCTTTGTGGGTGAGGTACCAGAAGGTTTTCGCAGATATATATCATCTTCACAACAGATCTTGATTGAAGAAAGTTCGATGCGTATTTTTTCTTCGAGCGTTTTGTTTGTCAACGTTTGAACCCTATGTGAAGGAGGTACCAGAAGAAATAGTCCGATCTCTGCCATCTTTACAACAGATATTTTGTTGATGACAATATTGAGAGTTGCGAAGTCTGAATGAAATCGGTTGTTAATTTCGTGTTTTATAAGTTTCACGAATATTCAAAAAACCCTTTGTGGGGGAGGTACTTGATGGAGTGGACCAATATTGTCCATGTTCGCACAAGACCTAGCACTGATGTAAATATTAAGATCTGCAAAGATGGAGCAAAATCGGATTATCCTTTCACTTTCTGTGCAATAAATTATTTTCTTTGCAAATTTTGACATTTTTTGGGGAGGTGCCAGAAGGAGTGGACCGATATTGTCCATCTCTGAACTCGATATACCCAGTTTGGATTAGATTGAATACTCCCTTCGTGAGATATCGTGCGGACCAGCCAGCCAGACAGATAGACGGACGAACATCGCTAGATCGACTTCAAATGTCCTGAAACGGATTTGGTCCAAGAGACCTAGGGTATAAAAACATTATTTCGATGAGGCACGTTTTGGCTGTATTAAATGATATATGCTCTCTCTAGCCATATGGCTGAGGGTATAAAAATACAATACTTCCTTTTTTCCTGATTTTCAAGAGAAGATAACTTATTGTAAATGCAAATAATTAAAAAATAAGATGTTCATATAAATTAATAAATACATTAATGTGTCGGTTGTGATTATCGTTAAACTGCATTGTTCTTGATCAGAGTTTTTTTTTTGGAGTCTCCTCAGGTCACACTGCTAACATTATTTACTTATATCCATTAAGCATGTTTGTAGAAGAACAGGGAGCCAGTAGCCCATTGAGACTAAAATAACTGAAGTTTTGACACAGCTAACCCTCTGCTCAGAAGCCAATATAGATGTCCTACTTCACTTTAATGTCGGTTGAACTTCAAACCACTTAATATCTCCATACTTGACGTCTGAACACGTAATAATCCATCTGATTATGATAGTTCTAAAATGGAATGTGGAACGCATGCTGGTGGTTTCTACGATTTATGCACGATTTGTCTTCATTAACCAACACAGAACCAGTAGTTATTCTACAGTTAGCCAGAATATTAATAAAGCGGCTAAAGATGACACGATAAGTTCCTATTCGTGGATACAAACGTTAAGACAACTGCGCGTCCTTTAACCTAACCTAATAGTCAACAGAACTGGTGAGCTTGATGATTCGGTGACTATATATTGATATCTGTAGAAATCAAGCAGCCACAGCTTTCTTGATTTCAACAAACCCGTATATTATGTCTATGAGACACTCAAATACTTAAAACCAAAGATCTTTAAAAGGTGTTAGAGAATCCCACTACTGGTGACCTCTCTGCATGCATTTCTCTATGCAATTATATCACTTTTTGTGTAATAATCTTTTTCAATTGATAACTTAAAATTGAGTACATGAGCCATATGTAAAGCACATTCCTGTTGATAGCGCCTTTACAATTATACACAAAAATGTTATTTCGCGGAATTAAATATAGCATGTCTACGATTAAGTTCAACTTTGCACATTTTCATATTTTTTATCAGACTTAGATCAAGTACAATGATTTATCATACAGCTAGGTTCCTTTTGGAACCTTTTCCGCAAACCATTAAAGCTTTATAAATCCTAAAAAAACGTTATCAAATTATTGATACCAACTTGTTTTATTTTCTAATGATCTGTTTTTTATGACGATTTCAATACAATATAGAATTAAGGTAAAACAGATTGGTAAAACTACAGAAATACATCCCTAAGATTATGCCTGCTTCCTGAATAATATTTGATATTCTTCCTCATTTTTTAAATGGATTAAAAATCACGAAAGAGGGTGGTATGCCCGGAATTCGCTTCCAAAGTATTATACGATATAATCCATCCCATCCCATGGATGTTTTTCACACTTTTATTTATATTTAATATGTTTAATGATAGTTTGACTGAAGGTCAATAAAACAATTTTATTTAGTTATTTCTTTATTTATTATTTTTCTTTTTATGTTACAAAGTACATATTGATAAAAGAAATTACACAACACACAAGTTTTACATTAGCTTTGTTTTAGTGGAAGACGTCTACTCAAATTTATCGTCAAATTCGAACTAAGCCTTCTTCCATCTGTGGCGATGTACTTATTTCTATAAATATGTGCACAGTGGTCCGTATCGGTTTCATTGTTCATTCTTTTTTCCGGTGGTACATTTATAATATGTAACATTTCTAATGTGAATGTGTCTTTTATAGTTGTTTTCTTGTTCCATTATATCTATATCCTTAAAGTTCGGTCTATGTCCTGTTAATGTGCTGCTAAAGCTGTCTTCTGTTCTAAAGGCTTGTCGAATTTTTGATCCGATTTATGTCGGGAAAGTCTAGTTTTTAATTTCGCGAAATATTTGGAGGGTGTATTATTGCCTGGGCACGCAAACATTTTGACCGCAGACCTTGGACATTCCAACAGGACCAGCACCATCGCCCTCAGTACGCGCCACCTAAGAATGGTTACAAAATGAGGTTCCTCGCTTCATTCCCAGCGCACAATGGCCGCCGAAATCTTCGGATACCAATCCGTTGGACTATTGTGTCTGGAGTGTTTTGGAAAGCAAGGTTGGCACTAAAAAATACCAAAGTGTGGATCACCTCAAGCAAGCGCTTCGCCGGGAATGGACCAAAATACCGCTGAGCAACATTTGGGCAGCATGTGACGGTTTCATTGGCCGTTTAAAGACCATAATTCGTGCCAAAGGTGACCAATTCGAACAACTCTAAACTTATTCTAAAATTTGATGATATTTCCGACATTTGTTGCTTTCATTCAATAAAATAAAAAAAGAGTAAAAATTATGGCGTTTGACTTTGTAGCAGTTTTTTTTATCTCACCCTGTATTTATAGAAGTTTAGTACATAAGCACAGATTGAAGAAGGTTTAGTTCGAATTTGACGATAAATTAGAGTAGACGTTTTCACTTAAACAATGCTAATGAAATATTTGTGTGTTGTGTAGTTTCTCCTATCAATTTGTAATCAATTGTGTACTTTGTAACAGATTCCTGAAGATGATTGTCGATGACAATCGAAATATTGGATAATAAAGAGGAAAAAGAAAATAACTAAATAAAATTATTTTATTGACCTTCAGCCGAACCACCATCAAGCATATTAAAATGTACAAGGTCAACAATAAATAACAACAGCATTTATATTTAATTTGAAAAGTACCCATAAAACTGTATTTTTCTTTCGAGTTCACTCTCATATCGTCATACAGAAACAGATCCTTAGTTTTGTTGTGTATATTTTTCTACAACATCCTGCAGAAAAAGAAAATGTTGTCGAACAAAATTAAACGTTGACAGCTTTCATACAATGTAGCTTTTGTTGTGTTCTATTTTTGATATCTGAACAAGCGTTTCCTTCACAATTTTGGCAGGAAATCTATACTAACATCAGATATGCCAGATTTTAACTTTCATTGGAATACGGGATACTGAAATCATTTTAGTATCACATCTGCCTAAAGAAATTTTGTTGCATTGTTTTAATATTTTTTGACATAAACACAGGAAGACATTTCAAAAGTCATGCATTTAAGGGTTTTGAGAGTCGAGTTTTTCTAAGTCTAGTGCTATTTATTATCAGCTAGTCAGCTAACTACTTAATGGAACAATAAGCTAAAGTTAACGTAATAAAAACACAATATTATGTTTGCATATCATTTATAACATTTATTTGTGTGTATTCAGCAAATGTCAAGTAAGTGCTTTAAATCAAACGTATTTTTCTCATTTTCAGCATTCATTCATTTTCTAATACTTGCAATCAAACATAGATTATTTTTTAAAACACACACACACTCATAATTATAATAATAACATTATGATTGACATTGATGATGTAAATAGTGGTGACTTGTTCTTGTTGTAACATTTCGATATTTGTGTTTTTCTTTGTTTGACTATTTGTTTTAATAATTTTGATTTGATTTTAATATTTGGTATTGGTAATTTTTGTATTGTATTTTTATTTTTTTTTAAACAAATGTTGTATGTATGAATGTTTTGTATTTTTTTCTATTGTTCTTAATTACTGAACTAAGTTTTTTTTTTTTCAAATTGTCTTGAGAACTAACGTGTGTATTTCTATGCATACTTCATAGATTTTATTCTAAATCAAAGATGTCATCACTAGTATTGGGTTTTAACAAAATTTATTGTAGTTACTTTTCGTAATATATATATATTTCGTGTTTTATTTATTTTTTATATAATTTTTTAACATATGAATACATTTTTAAAGTAAATTCGTTTTTAATCAGTTCTAAATATTTAAATTAACTACATTGACTAATTTTGCTTTTATCTCTTCATTTGACTAGCATATCCTTTCCAGCATCTTCCATTTAGTTTATATTTGTAATAACATCTGATGTCACAAAAGATATAAGTTGGAGGTATTTGTATGAAATGTAATGGTTTGATTTTCACGATACAATCAAAGATCTTCATGATTAATTGATTCTACCTTTTTGCTATATGACTTATATCACTTTCGAAAAAATGTCCAAACTATCAGATATTACTACAATTCATAACTTGGGGTGCTAAGAATCATAGTTATTTTATTATCAATCTTTTGTTTTATTATCAAATTTCATTTAGAATTTCGTGTAAATAAAATTGTCGTTATTCCTAACTATGCTTAGTGACTGCTACAACAACAAACGCGGTACACTCGAGAAAACCCTTAAATGCATTTCAACTTAAACAATGAGATTAATAAACCAAAAGTATATAATAAAGTAGAAAAAGACAAATTAAATGTTTAATATTGATCTTTGTAGTCGGAAACTTTTTCAATAAAAAATTATAACACATATCATATTAACTTTATTTGGTTGCATGATATTAGAACTTTTGCAAGAAGTTGGATAAATTTATTATCATGCAAAGAATTTCAATGGGTAACGTTGTAATTAAAGATTTAAAATTGCTTTGTAAATGGAGGAATATATTTAAATTTATGAGATCTTTATTTAAAAACTATAATACTACTTATTTGTGGCAAATGTTCGGAAGCCGGAGTCATTGGCAAAGAAGGACCGATTTAATCGTTATTCATAATTGGATTAGAACTTGGTGATGAATACAAATACCTTTTCGATATTTCACGTTCAGATAATTAATGAAAAACGGTCAGGATCATTTAAAATATCCAAAGAATTTTTTAAATGACTAGAAGTAATTGTTTTTAACAATTCCCGTAGGTAAGTGACATGTGTTTTGTATACGAAACATGTATGATGTGTCTAAACCTCGCCGTAAAAAACAAGTATGGAAAGCTCAAAAGTTGGGCGGAGCCGACTATATGATACCCACCACTATGCATATTAAGTAGAGCTCTCGTAAAAGAAAGGTTTATATTGCAATTTCTGAGCTCCATGAGATATCTGGTACAAAATATCATTATGGTAGAGTGCATATTTCGAAAGTTGGAGATTTAAAGATCAAATCGGATGAAACATATATACGGGAGCAAATTGCTAAACTCGGTTGAATTTCGAAAATTCACTCCATTTGGGCTAATATTAGCTATTTGGTGCAAAATAAACCTGAAATCGAATAATGATATATATGGAGGCTATATCCAAATCTGAGCCGACCTTCATAAAATTGAAAAAAGCTATTTCTTGGCTGCATCTGATATCTGGTACCAAATATTATTCTTGTATCGTGCATTTTACGAATTTGAGGGACTTAAACACCAAATCGTATGAAACATATATATGGGAGCTATAGCTATTTCTGAACCGATTTTTATCAAATTTGAAGAAAATGCTTGTAGGCTGAATTCGGTAGGAAATGCCAAAATTCACTCCATTTGGACTGATATTAGCCATTTGGACCACAATAGACCTGATATCGGTCGTAGATATATATATGGGAGCTATATCTTCATTTGGACAGATTTTCACCAATTTCAATAGAGTTCGTCTTTGAGCCATACAAATGTTATTTGGAAAATTTCATCTAAATCGAATAATAAATGCGACCTGCATTTTGTTTACAAAAATACATGGACAGACGGATTGACGGACGGACATGCATAAATCGACTCAAAATGTGGTTCTATGCTGATCACCAAAAGGAACTTCATGTTACAAACAAATGCACAAAGACATAATACCCTTACCACTATATAGTGTAGGGTATAAATATACTATGTTCGGTTGTTTCCCGAAGGAAGTTACCGATTTGTTTCAAACTTGGAACACATATTTTTAAAATGTTCACAAAAAATATATAGTATAGATCCACCTGCTAACAAAACAATCAAATATCTCTTAGGCAACAAAGGAAGCATCTGATTTGAATACAATTTTGCATTTAGATTTATTTGAGACTTAAGCATTAGTCCTCCCCGCACAATGCATAACAATTTTGAATAATTACATTTCTTCAAACAAACAAAACTTTAAACTTTTCAATACTTTCGCTCACATTATATATTGTGTGAAAATAGAACTTCTTCCACTTCTTCTGATACCTGCCCACACACTGATTGTGTGTATTATGCTTATTTGTCCTCCTGTTCGTAGATCCCACATAAAATTAAAATGTTATCAACCTTCCTAATACTTTGCACATCTCAATATGTCTGTTCATATTTTGCTTGGTGAGAAAATGAGCTATAGCGATCCATTCCTTTAATACTACAAATGATCAAAACTTAAAAAAAAAACATTTAGTTGGTAAATGCTGAGGGCATATCTCTGTCGGCAATTCAAGCGCAACTGTCCAACTTATCTCCATATTTATAACATGTGTTCAATGAAAGTAAAAAAAAGTCCGACAACAATTTGTAATTGCAACAAAAAAAAAAAAAATGAAATGAAAATAAATATAAAAAAAATTACTAAAGATAAAATATCACAACCGCAATTTTTAATAATAAATAAAAAATATATACTTCGTTTTTGGTAGCAATGCCAAAAAAGAAACAATTCATTACAAAACTATTTTTTACTACAAATATAAATGATTTCTGTTAAGATATCTTGATTCAAATTCACACTTTTAATAACCTTCATTTGTCATTTCTTGCATTGTTACCAAAAACATAGGTATGATGACGTATGGAATAGCAACTTGCATTTTGCTTATGATGGTTTCTATTCTTTTCAATTTTCATGGTGTGTGTTCCTTTAGATATGAGCTTAAAATTGTCTTTGGTTTTGCAATAGCATTTAATATCTTTGCAGTCTCATTTTTTTTTAAATATCGAAACTGTGGAAGCGCGCGCAATTGAGACCTTATAATAGAAATATCCTTTTGTTTATTTTGTTGTATACTTTCCTTAGTATTTTGTCTTAGGGACAAGACTAAAAAATCATGATAACAAATTACACACACACTCTCCAGCACATACATAATGCATGTAAATTAACTACAATCAAAACAATGATGATAACATTACGTCTATAGCCAACCAACCATCACCAACCAATATACAAGGTGTCACTACTTGCGTTTCCTACCTGCAACTTCCTCAAAATCTGAATCGTCAGTATCCCCAGCCGCCACAACAGTTGATGCTGGCCGGGTCTTGGTATGACGTTTGACACGAGTTGATTTCGTTTTGCTCAGCTTCAGAGGTTCTTTGCTATGACGATCTCTGCCGCCTTTTGTCTTGACATCTTCCTCCTCTTCGTCATCATCGTCCTCTTCGTCCTCACCATCATTGTGAGATCGATGTTGTTTTTCGCCCAATGCAAGTAGTGAATAAACATCCATGCTATCGATTTGTGAGCCCAACGATTTTTTGGATGGTGTGCCAGCCTTTTTAGCTGCCGCCTCCTCTGCGGCATGCTTTGCCAATGACTCTTTAACTCTTTCCAGGCTATTGGCATTTTGGAGTAAATCACTGAAATCAAAAGCTTTTGTGTCTTCCGTTTTGTGAAAATTGCCTGAATCGTTGTTTTCGTCACCATCTGATTCTGAATCTGATAAATTACCCAAACCAGCATTACAATCAAAATTTGGTACAGGTGACACAGACGTTTTGGACTCGTTTGCCTGGTTGACATTAAAGAAACTGGATTCTATGTCAATTTGATTTGGATCGACCAAATAATTGTCGATGCTGCCATCGCTACTGGAGCCATCATCTTCGTTATCGTTGCGTTGTTTTCGACTACTTTCATTGGGCGTTTTGGCGTTTTTTGAGTTCGTGCGTGAAGTCGACGCCGAAGGTGAGTTTTTTCCTTCACTGCTTGGCGGAGAGCATGTCTTTGGCAGTGGCCTATATTTGTTGTAAAGTTTGGCACGTAAGGAAAGACCAGGCCGTTTCTTTGACGTTCCTTGTTTTGCTGCACTGCGTGCTTTGGGCTCCCGTTCACCCCTTATTCAAAGAAAATCAAAAATAATAATTTGGGAAAAAAACTAAATTGAATAGATTACCTTTTTCTTCCTCCACCTCCACTTGATGCGCTAATAGCAGCTATTGGCGAGGACTCTTCAAAATCACTATCATCGTCATCTGACGACTCGCCACCACGGGTTTCTTTACTTGGCTTCCATTCATCCTCGCTGGCGGAGAATCCTTCTGACATAGATTCTTCTTCGTCAGACATCTTGGTTTTCTCTGCACCAGGTTAGGTCTGCTTTGTTGTTTTTCTAAGCTAATTTTTCATTCCTCTTTCAGCATTTGCGTCTCCTTTTGCAAGGATTATTGATTTTGTGTTTGAAAAAAGTAGAATGGAATCAAACTGTTATGCTAGTTTATTCTAGACTTAGATAATTGGTTTTATTGTAATTCCATAAGATTCTATTTTTGATATTTCTTTGATTAGACACAAAATATATATTGTTTTACAAAATTCAGAGGATTTCAAAAGTTCTGAAATTCCTGCTACCAAACTCTTTGCGAAAATAAAATGTTAGGGATTCAAAAGTCGACTTTCGACATTTGTCTTTTTTGCTGGTTCCGTCTACTCCTCACTTTCTTGATTTTCTACATTAATCGACCGTATCGACAACTGTGTGAAACTGTTAAATATTTAAAAATATTCATGGCAGAAGAATACAGGTAGATGCATGGTACAATGATATCAAGGTAGGGCAGAACTACCATATGATTTTAATTTTTTTATTTTTCTGGCTTAATATGTCAACTTAATTTGTTTATGTGTGCGTATTCTTTTCAATAATAAAAAAATTTTCAGAAAATATTCAAATTCGGGTGTTTTCAAAATGCTTATTACACAATATGCATCAAGAAAATCTACAGTTTTTGTCGCGAAATAAGCCATAAGAGATATATAGAACCTGGTTTTGAAAAGAAGTGTTGACCTTTCATTCAGTTTTCGCGGTTTTCAATTATTTATTCAAAATAAATGCAACAAGTTGTATGATTTTTTTATTGTTTTGATACTAATTCTGACATTACAAGCCAAACAGGTAGACCTCTATACTTGCAATTTTTTCAAAGTTGACCTACCTTCTCTTCATTGTACCATGGGTAGATGCATCAACGCTTGGGAGCATTGATATGTCAAACAAATTTAAATGTTTTTTTCAAATATAAGTAGATTTTTATACGTTTTCTTATACTACGTCATTTGGAGGCTATTATAATTCGCGTTTTTCAACAATTTTTACAAATTTAAAAAAATTTTCATTCAACATTTTCAATTCCAAAATTGGTTTGACAGTTCATTGTCCCAGCAGCTGTGTCGATGCGTCTACCTATATTCTTCTACCATGAAAATATTTTAGAAGTTTAACGTAATTTTCTAAACAGAAGTTGAACAACGATTTAAATTATCATGTAGTAGTCGGGCAGGTAATCGCATTCACAAACTGATATTAGAATTGAAAATATTAAATGACAAATTATTGAAATTTGTAAAAATTGTTGAAAAATGTATATTATCATGGTACAATAAAAAGGTAAGGTAGAGCTACCAGCTGATTACAATTTTTTCTAAAGCAGGAAATACATAAAGCGTTTATCTGGCTGGCTTAAGTCATCGGCTGGCTTCTTCGGAAATGAACAAAGGAGCCTACGGCCAAATTCGAACTAAGTCAACCAACAACTCCTTTGTTCATCTATGAAGAAGCCAGCCGATGACTTAAGCCAGCCAAATATGCGCTTTATGTGTTTCCAGCCTAAGTGTGCCCGACTTCTGCGAATTTTATGTATGTGTTTATTGTTTCGAAAAATAAATAAATAAATATTTCCAAAATCAATGATTGGAAGACGCGTAAATTGCGAGACGCGCTTTAAAGCCATTCGCCAGTTTTGCCATAGAATTGAAAGATAGAAACGTTATTTTTGAAAGAAAATCCAGCCGTTTAATTCATTTTTCCCATTTTTTCATGCGGAAATATATTGTATAAATTAAAAGAACTTGTTGTATGGAACTTTTACAGAAAGCGGACAAAGCCTATGTAGTTTTACGAAGCTGTTCTACCCATGGTACAATGAAGAGAAGGTAGGTCAACTTTGAAAAAAATGCAAGTATAGAGGTCAACCTGTTTGGCTTGTAATGTCAGAATTACTATCAAAACAATAAAAAAGCAAACAACTTGTTGCATTGATTTTGAATAAATAATTTAAAACCGCGAAAACTGAATGATAGTTCAAAACTTCTTTTCAAAATCATATTCTATATATCTCTTATGGTTTATTTCGCGACAAAAACTGTAGATTTTCTTGATGCATATGTTGTAATAAGCATTTTGAAAACACCCGAATTTGAATATTTTCTGAAAAATTTTTTATTATTGAAAATAATACGCACACATAAACAAATTAAGTTGACATATTAAGCCAGAAAAATAAAAAAATGAAATCATATGGTAGTTCTGCCCTACCTTGAATTCATTGTACCATGGTTCTACCTACTTTTTGTACCATGTATATTATAACAACTTCCTATTAGCGTCGTAAACAAAACATTAAAAGATCTACTTATTTCTGATAAAACATTTAAAAGTTGTTGACATATCAATTTTCTCAAGCGTTGATGCATCTATCTATATTATTCTACCATGATATATGTTAAATAAAATCTTATTAAGGAGTTTAAGCTGGAAAATAGCTCTAATGTAAACGCACTTCTTTCTCGTGTTAACAACAAGTTTTTTAAGGTGAGAATACATAAAAGGCTTTTCTGGCTGTCTTGTTCGGAAAAGAACAATGGAACGTAAGGCCAACCTAAAGCTCCTTCGTTCCTCTACGACGACTTATTAGAAGATATACAATTTGTATCTGTAAAACATGGTAGAAATAAGAAGGTAAAGTTATGCAAAAATATGTTTACAATTGTTTCAAATATAGGTATAACCATGGTACAATGAAGAGAAGGTAGGTCAACTTTGAAAAAATTGCAAGTATAGAGGTCTACCTGTTTGGCTTGTAATGTCAGAATTACTATCAAAACAATAAAAAAGCAAACAACTTGTTGCATTGATTTTGAATAAATAATTTAAAACCGCGAAAACTGAATGATAGTTCAAAACTTCTTTTCAAAATCATATTCTATATATCTCTTATGGTTTATTTCGCGACAAAAACTGTAGATTTTCTTGATGCATATGTTGTAATAAGCATTTTGAAAACACCCGAATTTGAATATTTTCTGAAAAATTTTTTATTATTGAAAAGAATACGCACACATAAACAAATTAAGTTGACATATTAAGCCAGAAAAATAAAAAAAATTGAAATCATATGGTAGTTCTGCCCTACCTTGAATTCATTGTACCATGGGTATAACCTTTTTTTGATATAAAATAGGTATAACCTTTTTTGATATAAAATTTCACTGCAGGGCAATGTGAACATATTTTATGCCTAATAATAGAAAAAATCGCCGTTGTACTTAACAAAACGCTAAAGGCAGTGGTTCGGATACTTTTTTTGCGGTTAAGGAACAGCGACACCACTTTAGATAATTTATTCGTATATTTCATGTTTCCTAAAATTGCAAAATGTAGAATACTTTATGTATGTATGCTGTTTGGTTACAACTTGAAAGTGATGTTGCCTTTCCGGGATTTTCTAGCGATTGCTTAAAGTGCTGAGAGATTAGGACCAACAGCTAACAACTATACATTCAGGGAAATGATGTGAAAGCATTAAGATTAAATATTTAAGAACTATTCTTCTGCATTTCCAATTTAATAATCCAAATTCAAAAAATGTATATTTTCGAAATAAAAATAATTTATTGAAAATTAATTATTTTGTTTACATTTTTGGATACATAACTCTGACACTTGTATTACGTACAAAAACTAATTTTTATATGGTTGTTGTTACGACTTTTGTACAACAACACTTGCTGTTACCCGGCATTTTATGTATTCTCACCTTCATTCAGAAAACTGAAGATGAGAACATATAGCACTTGCTTAAGTAAAAGAGCAACATAAAATAAATATTTTACTATAGGCCGTTAAACCATGAAACACCAGTTCTTATATCTGTTTTTGCCGCACAATAAAACAAACAAATGCTTTTGGTATTAAATTTAAAATAAAACTGTTACACTATTTATTTTTTTTATTCCTGCCAATGGAAAAAATGATTTTTGCACACAACAAAACGTTTTTAGGGCTAAAAACTACGCCAATCTTTATTCCTAATTTATTTTTGCCCGGATTTTTCATATTTATCTTTTCATGCTTTAAGCACACTTTCATGTCCCTATCATACTTCAGAGTTGTATTTTCCTATCTAAATAAAATTGTATGTGGTAATGCTGGAATTTTGTTCATGAGCCGAACACAAATTTAAATAATTTTTCATTCAACAATTTCAATTCCAAAATTGCTTTGATAGTTCATTGTCTTAGCAGCTGTGTCGATGTGTCTACCTATATTCTTCTGCCATGGGTAAAACCATAGTAGAATTAATAAGGTAAAGTCAATGATGGATATGCTCATTTGAAATGACTTTACCTTCTTAATTTTACCATGGGTAAAACGTAAAATGATACTTTTCTCTATTCTAGGATGCGTATTGCTCTCGCGACTATTATATTACACTATGTAGATGTCGAGATTTTTCAATTATAAACAATTTTATGGTTATTGCCACAAAATACAAATTGTGCGTACATCTCGAAGCAGGAAATTCCAATTTTTAATTTTAGCATGAGATTACTTGGTATAATTTTGGCATGAAGAAAGGCAAGGCGAGTGGCCAGTTTTTTTATTAAACTTTTTCTTTCTTTTTTTCATGAGCGTATTTATATTGATGTAAGTGCATTGAAACGACCTAATCTGGCCACTTTCTCGGTAAAAGTACTTATAATTTTATTTTTTTTCTGAGATCAACATTATTCACACCATTTGTGATTTTATATTACAAATTTGTTTATAGTAAACATGTGAGTAGCTTCGTAAAACTACAGAAATGAAACCCTGAGGCTATGCTCTATTTTTGTCAGAATTACCAAAATTATATGCAACAAGTTATTTTAATTTTTTTTATTTCGAACATTCCCAACGCTACTCTTTACTACTCTCTTTAGGCATTGAAATGACAGCTACAAAAAATATTTTATCAGCCGGTGAAAAAAATCTACCACTACTCATTTAAAAACATAAATATTCTAGATGTTATTTTTTCAATATTAGTACCAAAATCTACGATATCATACAAAGAGTTGAAATCTAGATACATTCTACTTGTAGGTACACCCATGCTAGAAGAATACAGGTAGTCGTATCGCCACAGCTGCTGGGACAATGAATTGTCGAACCAATTTAAACTGTTAAATGAAAAATTACTAAAATTTGTGAAAATTGTTGAAAAATGCTTATCATAACAACATCCGATTGGTGTCGTAAAAAAAACTTATAAAAAATTACTTATTTTCGAAACAATATTTTAAAAATTTTCACATATCGATTGATGCATCCACCTGTA